TATAAAGTTTTATAGGATGTAATTATGTATCACATTTACTTAGAAAGCATACATCAGGTCTATAAATAAGTGAGGAGTATCATTTGCATCCAATATCCAATTTATGTTTTATGATATAATTGAGCATATCTCTTAATATCTCAAAATATCTCAAATTCCTTTAATTCTAGATATTTCTCTTAATCTCAAATTCAAACAAATGGGTGTGAGTATCACTACGCAATTAAAAGCTCCATTCAAGAAGATTCCACTAGAAGACGCGACAAATTTTGCCAAATTACTACAACTAAAGTCTTGCAAGAAAAAGTTCAAGAGCCGCGCATAGATAGGGTTAGATCCAGAAGCTGTAAGAATTTTTTTAGGAAATAAAGGATCTTCTTTACAAATTTTTACAAATTTTAGAAAGGACGGAAACAAGTGAAATATTATTAAAGATTTAAATTAAATATTATTTTAAATTATACAAGTCTTATATTACAGTACTATTTTTTATAAATTATAATATTATAAATATTATTTGATATAATGATAAAATTAATTTAAATAATTTTTTTTTATCTCTCAAACATAGTAAATTATGACCTTATTCTCTTTGATTTCTTATATCCAATCTACTAAAAAACACAATCTCTTATCTACTTCTTTTTTCTTTCTTTTTTTAATTTAATTTTTTCCGTCCTAGTATTATTGTAATTTTTTTCTTAAACTTATTTATCAATTATTATTTTTATTATTCTTTTTTATAATATATTCTAGATTAACGATCATATCCCTAATTTCCTAGGTGGTCAATGATAATGATGATAATATATACTTCTTTGTTTTACTGGAAGTGAATTTTGCATCTTAATTGTCAGGCTTAGGTTTAGAGAAAACAAAGAAAGAAAGTGTTTTTCTTTTTCTTTTTTTTTTTTCTTTTTTTTTTTTATTGAAAAAACAGAAAGAAATGAAATATGACTATAGTTATTTGTTAGGCCAATTTGTCTGATGTGAGACTTTTTATCTCTTTAATGGAGTGAATGAGATTCGAAGTTGATTTTATTCCAATCATGCAAGGCTCGATGAGAAGATGATAAACAAGCCCCGAAATTAATAAAACGAGCTTTCTTGAACTCACATATTGCTTCCATAAAATACAAAAATACATCCATATATTTTTTCAATTGAAGAAGCCTATACCAGTAAATTCCAATGACCCATCTTTCAAACTCCTCTTTTATGTCTATTTTTTCATGTAACTTTAAATGTCTCAATCTTCCAACAATTATAATTATAATTCTTTTGAGAGGTGAAATAGTATATGAACTACATTCAAGGGCGGAGGCAGCATGTGCCCACCGCGGGGGCAGGGGGGGCTATATATAAATTTCCCCCCCTAAAATTAATAAAATGGCCCCTTTATCCCTGAATCCACTAAATTTTATTTTATTTTATGCCTATAATTTGTAAATATTTATAAAACACTCCCATAAAATTTTAAAGTATCCCCATAAAATTATCTATTTCTAAAAATGCCTTTAGTTCTTTATTCCTTTTCCTTCTTATTCTTCAAATTTCTTTTTATTTCATTTTCTTCTTAATTTTTTTTTTTTTTTTCCTTGCCGTCATACATAATTTATGTGCAATAACTTCTTTTTTTTTCTTTTTTTTTTTTTTCTAATTCATTTTTTATTCACTTATTCTGCTGCACAGTTGTTACACTATTATATTTTTTGCCTGCTTGAAAAAAATTATTTTATCAGTGTTAATATGTCCCCCTTAAACCAAATTTCTAGCTCCGCCCTTGAGTATATTTGTAAAAGTTATTATTATTCCTTTATGAATTATGAGTGTTGTCCACTTCTGCGAAATGACTTTAAAAAACAAGTTTTCATACCTTTTTGAAACGGAAATCTAATAGCATTGGCTCCTTTCAACGTTGGTTTAAAACTTTCACTTTTGGGGGAAGGGCTTCTTGGACTAGGAAATCTGAGATCGAAGGATAAATAATACGTGAATTCGTGAATTCAATTCGATCCATGCGAATTGGATTTGATTGTTACACTCACGAATTGATGACGGATTAAAAAAATGAATCCGTAACTCACAAATTATTGAATTATAGATTGAACTGTTAAAATTTGATCCGATCCAATTCGCAAAATATATATATATATATTTATATATTTATTCAAAGAATGTATTAGTTAATGATAATTTAAATATATGAATTAATATTGATAAATTGGAATTTAATTTATTGAATTATGGTTAAAAAATAAATAATATTGAACAATTTTAAAAAATTCTCTATTGGACAATTTTAAAAAAATTCTCAATTCGTGGATCCAATCCGATTGGATCTCATTTTACAGATCCTATCTGATTTGTTATCACACGAATTGATAGCGAATTAAGATTTTTTTAATCCGTTAAGAACGGATGGAATTAGGAATGATGCTTAATCTAATCCATGGCCACTCCTACCTGGTATATAATATTATGTCATTAATTTGTTGGGACGCGGCAATGACAGAGAACAAAAATAAGTAGACAGATCCATTTCTTTGTATGTTAAAATTGACACCAAAATGTGCAACATAGTATTACTTCCAACTAGAAGGTTAAACCAGAATTCTTGTTGAGAAAAAATGTGTTGTAATTGGCCCCACTCAATGTTGATGATAGTCCTTGTGTCATAAAATCAAATTCTGAAATATATTCCTTTTGCCTAACAAAATTTAAAATTGTTTTTTTAATCTTCTAAATGAAGAAAATACTGCCCCCTCTTCCCCACTTAGAAGAAAGCTTGGAAAATAAACTTTAAAAAGTTTGAGATATATATTTTGTTGAAGATATATTGTGACCAACTCATTTGTCCAAATATTTGGAGAAGAAATGGTTAGAAAACACACTTTTTTCCTATTTTCATTCTGAATAAAAAATGAAAACAAATTGCTACATGTCCACATATCTCCAGTATTATTTTGTTTGTCCAAAATAATTCCCATCAAACAAAATAAATCTCAACTCAACAAAACAATGTCATGAATATTATGAGATCTTCTTTCATAATAATATCAGTTAAATTAAACCCACATAAATCTGTCAACAATAATCTGGTATTGAATTGGATACTCCTTTATAACTCAGTTTCAAGTATTATTACTTACCAGTCTACTAGTTTGCCCAAAACCCATATCCATTCGAACTCGACCATCAAGCCATCTCATACTCAACAGGGACACTTAATCATTATCAGCTGGAGTCTGATTCGCTAATGTTGTTTCAATACTCTACAATACACTCGAATTAAGGTAATTTTTCAATCCCTAATAGTACCTTTAATCTGCTAAACAATATTCTACCACCACAACAATTGTAGTCTGCTCCTTCATTATAACTTTCTGCTAGGCTTCCCCCATGTTTCTGCTCTATAACTTTCAGTATTACAACTTTTATCGAACTTCTAACATTGCAGAAAGCAATGGGTTATAGTGACTATACAGACCAAAGAATTACCGAAACTCACTCTCATAAAACTAGTAAAAGATCTACTCTATCAGTTTCTATGAAAGCTGATCGAAAGAGAGAGCACCTTTTTTTTTTGGTAGGACATCACGTGCTCAAACACCACACCGGATCCATGTGAGGGGCTCAAACTGCTCACATTCCCTTCCCTTTGAGGAGGAGAGCTCATGCCACCTAGGATAGTTGCCCGGTGGCGAAAGAGAGCATTTTGAGCAAAGAGTTTCAAATTTTAACACACTAATACATGTAAAGTACTTACCTTCTGATAAAGACATGTAAACTTTTAACTCCGCAAGTTGAGCAAACCATAAATCATGAGCTGATAAAACATCATTCATATTCTCCAAAGAACAATTGAAGTATTAAACTAACCAGTTCTTCTAATTCATGCATCAAATAACAAATCATAGAAATCTTAGACCATGAAATACGAAAATGATAAGATAACTTATTAAAATCCTCTTTCTTTTTCAACATCTGAAAGTATCTAAAACACATTTGTACATGCAGACGTTCAACCTGATATAACAAATATTAGTTCTAAAATTTGCTGATCGCGTATGATAACATAATTTTTATTTTATTTTTCTATTTAAAACTCACACACCTACTTTACCACAATGGGAACTTGAACTCTCGACCTTGTACTTCGGAAGATGAAAAAGTATCACTAGACTACACCTCTTGCTGGTGACTGCACAATTCATTACCCATGCTTCACAAAATTTACAGCAACACTATGACTGCACCAACTATTATGACTCATGTATTCATGTGCACAAATTGTTTTATTAGGCCAGGGGTAACACTTTTGGGATTAAAGAATTATTCGAAAGGGGATACGAGAGCACTGATGGCAGAAGCAGAAGCCAAAGATTGGCAAAAAAGGAGTGGTAATGCTTCTTTTTTGTCAACCACTTTTTTGTCAACCATGACATGTTTTCTTTAAGAACGATTACATAAAGATCTTTCATAACCAACTCATAAAACAACCATCTAAGCAAGATAGAACAAAGGAGCATGAAACTTTTATTATTATTGTTACTATTATCAACATTATATTATTTTCTGGGGTTAGGTAAACAGCTCATACACGGCCACACAATTTTGCCCCACTGGCTCTCAAAATCCTCATAGGGAGGAGAGGTTATACCACTTACTTAGCCAATGGCCCGATGGTGAGGACATGAAACTTTAACACCACAAAACGTGTAAATTCTACCAACCACCAAAATTAAAACTTAAATCCTTTTCTTCAATTCAACCTACCAAGAAACATATTATATAATAATACATAACCCATGTCCTTTCCACTATTCACACTAATTGAAACTTGTAATTTGGGCAAAACCAACTCCTCCTTGGCAGCATCAACAGCTTTCTTTATATATTAAGTTATTGAATACTTCTATTAATTAATTTTATTAGCAACACACAACTCCAATGCTTACCATTGTGTGTTCAGTGAATCAACAAAGAACACATAATCGTTCACCAAAAACTGAATCTGTATTTAATATTTATTGCTAATTGATGAACAACAATACATTGTTTTTTGAACAATAACTTTCGTGATCACAATTCAAAGTCAAACAAAAAGCGCCAATACCAAAAGAAAAAGGATTTGCATAATAAGTAAGAAACAATGCATTCAAGCATTCATAATTATATATATATATATATATATATATATATATAAAACTGCATCTGGTATCTGAATTCCTACCTTTACCTTGCTAATTCTATCACTTGGGGCCCATTTCCTCAAACATAATGCAGCTATGATCATCACTCTGAATTACCAGAAACAAGAATATCACAATTCGAATTCATCTTCGATCTTGTCAGCCGCAGCTTCTTCCTCTTCATCATCAAGCGCGAAATAAGGGTTGTGCGCCTTAGGCCTGAAATTGTACCCAGTGAACAAATAAAACGCAAGCGTAGCCAATTCAGCAGCCACCACACTCGTCCACTGATACTGATACGAAGTTATCGTCTCCAATGCATAAACCACAACCCTTGTGAAGTAAATGTAGGAGATAACAACAACGTAATACTGCCTAAACAATGTCAACTTCATCAGGTTCACCGCGGCCTTCCCATCCGTCCTAGCGGCCTCCCGCATGTTCTTAATCGACCACACAATCGGAAACAACACAGCACAGCAACAAACCACATCAACAAGTAAAAAAACTTGCTTCCAAGTGTATGAATCCTGCCCATACGGACCAGCCTCATCAATCACCACTTGAGCTACATTTGCAACGACTTGCAATGGTATAACAATCATCAAAACCCTCTTCTCCTTATCTTGCAAATAGGGTTTCAAGAATGACCAACCAGTCCCAATCAACACAATCAATGTGAACAATGTAATTCCCTTCAAGAAGCTAAATATGTAAAACAGAACATCCCAACCATGAGCAGTACCAGTCTTCTTAATATAAGATTTGTCCTCAGCCTCACAAATCAAATTCAATGCTTTTAATGCAATCACAGCAAGCATGAAGAAATGGATTCGAAACACTGATAATAATTTATTGTATAGTATGTATATCCATATACACGCGACGGTTGCATATATCAAGAAGAACATGAAATAAATCCAGGGGAGATTGGTTTTACCGGCGGAGAGATAATCGCGGCGGTTCGATTTGGAGTCGAGATTGTACATGGTGGAGCGAACGTTCATGGAGATTTGGAGATTAGGGTTGCAATTGGCGAAGACGAGAGTGAACTGGTTGGCGTCGGTGACTCCGAAGGTGGTGTCGAAGCGATCTCCGCCGTTGATTTGATCGAAGGTGAAGATGCGTTTGACGAGATTGGATTGGAGAGAGCAGGCGATGTCTTCTTCTTGGAGCTGTTCGAGGACGTGGATCCATGACTCGCGGGTGGAGAGGAAGAACCCGACTAGGGCGGTGTCGGGTTTGACGTTCGGGTTGGAGTTGGAGAGGGAGATTTGGGAGACGTTGAGGATGAGGAAGCCGGTGTGGGTGAACCCGAATTCGTCGAAGGGGATGGTGGATCGGGCGTCGGAGCGGATCTCGGTGGATCGGATCTCGGCGACGGTGGTGGTGAAGAAGAGAGCGGTGGTGATGATGGTGAGGAGAGAGAAGAGTATAAATGGCGATCTCGAAGTGACAGTCATTGTTGGCGCTCTTCACTTTCTCTCTCTAAAATACTCTTCTCTCTCTCTCTGTTGATGGATATATCATATATGGTATCTGCCTTGTGTTAGAAGTTGGAATTAATAGTGAAAGGTTGTTGACAAGTCATACACAACACCGACAGAGACTGAGAAGGTGAAGTCAAGTAAACGACGTTTGCTTATACATTACGGTGACGGTAATTGCGAGGAGGTTTCTGGATCAAGATCGTTAATTTTTAGAAGTCAAGTTAAAAATGGCTAATGTCAACCCAAAAATAAATAAATATATATATATATATATATAACTTGGGGCTTCTCATAATAACGTTTACGTAGGACACTAATAGTAGAATACAAATGGGATTAGTTTAATAAGAGCCTGTTTAAAAATAATAAGGTAAATTGCATTGACAACTCTGAAATTTCAATCAATGTCACTCAAATGCCCATCAACGATTTTTTTAATAATGACACTCTTTATTATTTCAAATATCATACTTGTCCCTAATTATTAAATTAAATTACAAAATATCGGCTATGTTAATTGACAAAACTACCCTCATCGTTAAGCCTCTTTCTTTGCCCTAATCTTTAACTCTTTTTTTTTTTTATTATTTATTGTGGTGGGTCTGGACTAGCCAGGAGAATAAGAGAGAAAACAAAAATTTAATAAACTACTACATCACCCTTCATAAATATTTAATAAATTTCATAAATAAAGTAAGGGATAGATTTAATGTTAAAAATAACTTAAAAATTTATCTTTCCTTTTAAATTTTCAGGTTTTTTCCAATCTCCTCCACCCAACCAAACAAAAAGAGGGAAATGCTTAATCCTCTTCCCTAGAGATGTCTCAGCATCTTTTCTTCTCTCCCTTCCATTAAATTTTTTTCCTTCCCAACGAAGGGAGCATTAGTGATATTTTCTTTACCTTACAAAGCAAGAGCCTGGTAGTGAGTGCTCAAACTCCGGGAAAAAAAAAAAAAAAAAATGAGTTTGTGAGTTTCTTTCTATTAAAAAATAAATAAAAATAAAAATACCCCCATTAATTCTTTTGCAGCTAGCCATTTTTAAACACCACACTAATTCTTCTTAATGATCCAAAATTGCAAGGCAAAGAAAGCACAAAACTGAGGTGTATTTCTTCCATCCAAAGAATACACCACATTTTCAAGGTTCGTACCGTGGCCTGTTGGTTCACTACTTTCAAGAAGTGTCCGAGACAAGGAGAAAAGAAGATAAAGAAGAGAACAGAAAGCTTAACAAAATCCATCTACTTGGAAGGAAAAGAGAAGACAATGTGAAGGGGAAAAAAAAAAAAAATTCATTTACTTGCCATGAAAAAAAAAAAAGGGTAATTCACTATGTCTAGGAGCTGTTCTTTTAAAACTGATGAATAATAGTATTTCAACAGAAAATTTCAAGATTGCTTCTGCAACAAGAAGCACCAGTACCATATTAGGATCAAGCTGAATGTGGAGTTTTTTTTTTTTTTTTTTTTTCCAGGTTTTCGAGGAGGGGTGCTTTGAAACGATTGAATTATCCATCTCAATTTAAAATAAAAATAAATAAATAAATAAATAAATAATCTCTATCTTAACTGTTATTCCTATAAGCAACCATTCAATTACAACGATGGGTCCATATTCGGCAACAAATTTATTCCAAGAGTTGTGTATGTGCCTTCAATAACCATAGAAAGCACAAAGGAATATTCAATTCCCATTAGAAAATTGAAACGCGATGAATAAGATAACTAGCCTGTGATGCATTGCTATCCAAATATGAATGAACACCACTACTACTGTAAAGGAGAATCCTATCATTTGGCAACATTATAACTTTCATAAGCAAAAAACCTACTTGAAGAGGAGCTACAACGTCAAAAGCACGAGTCTATTCTGTTGCTTCGACAGGCTGTGGAGCTTCAATTTTCTTCAACTTTTCCAGAACAGATATGCGCTCGTCCAGAGACTCATGGAATCCTTTCATCTAGAGAAACAAAGATGTGAAAACTTATAAGCATAGATAGAATGCCAACCTATCCAATATCTGCATGTTAAGTTAACAATTTTGGCTCTAGGTTTATTTTATTTTTCTCCCCCCTTTAATGAGTGAAACATTTTGGTTGAAACACCTAAGTTGATTTCCACACAATTTAAGTAGCACAGGCATTATTAAGGAGTTGTGTTTATGTCAAAAATGTGCCAGCCACTCTAGGATTCTTGTCCAAGTTCCAACAAATCTTGTATGCGTACATAATTTCAAAATAAATTCTTCATTTCAGACATATGGCCAATACTTTTTGGACACGTGCTAACATATAGACCACCTTGAAAGTTGCATATTCACATAAATATATGTGCACAAGCATTTGCATACAAACACGGGCACGTTCTTACTATCTTTTTTGCAAAGCACGGACACTTTCACAGAGTTGCTTGTAAAACGTCTCGGACACAGCATTTCCCAAATGCTCTTGGACACATGTCCAACACATCTTAGACGTATCCCCGATTTAAAATAGATTCCTAATTTCATACAAATGAGTGATAATTCTCGAGCATGTGTTAGCATCAAGAACACCTTGGAAATTACATCTATACATGCATACATATGCATATAGATATATGTCGTCCTCTTGTTATCTCTCTCGACCCGAAAGAGTTGATTATGGTTATATAATCACAAGTTACGAATTTCATGTTCTTTTACCATAGATATTAATTCATCATGTATAATATAATTTTTGCACAGAAATATAATTATAGGCAAATTTCTGTAAACCCCCAATACTTTTAAAAAGTGATTATAAAACCCCAACCTATTTCTAAAAACCCCTATACTTTTAAAAAGTGTTCACATTGCCCCAATATCCGTATCCGACCCGTTAATTGGGCTGTGAAATGACAAGTTTGACCTTACCATTTAATGTTAAATTAAAAAATAAAAAATATTTTTATTAAATTACATAAACACCCTTAAATAGTAAGCATAGGCCCACCCAAGTCAACTCAGTTCCCTCAAAAGTCGGTCTCAAATTCACCAAACCAACCCTTATCGGTGTGTGGTGGTTACTGCAATGGTGAATTGGGTGGTATGAGAGGAATCGATTTTTTAATCATGACAAACCTCAATAGCCTCCAGCCCGATCAAATCAGATCAGATCTAATTCCAACTTCATCATACGCGCACGACAACGGCCGGAGCTGCAGCTGCTGCAACGGATGAGGCGGCGCCGCCGAGGAAAGGGAGGAATACGGCGTTGGCAGGTTGTTGATCATCAAGAAAGAGGTCCTCCGGAACCTTGAAAGCTCCGTGCGTGCACACAATCGCCAATCCGACGAGGAGAACAGAGATCAGAAGCGATCCAACGCTGGTGAGGAACACCACAACTATAGTGGAGACCACCAATACGCCGAGGGTTTCTCGGTCGGTGAACGCGCGACCAAAGAGGACGATAGGCTGATCGAAGGGTCGGAAGAGGTAGAGGAAGAACCAGTAGGCGAGGAGTCCAAGAAGGACAAGGAGTGAGAGAGGGTGAGAGAGGAGAGAGAGAGCCAAGACGAGGGCAAGTAGAGTGACGTAGTTGACGAGGAAGTAGGAGAAGTTCTTGCGGATGCAAGAGGCGGCATAGGTGAGGGAGTCAGGGCGGGCGAGGGAGGAGCGATCTACAAGCTCCAACCAAGGGCGGCGTTGGGCTAAGCCTTGACGGAGGGAGGAGGTGAGGCGCGTGATGGAGGAGCGAAAGGCTGGGGTGGCGATAGGCACGTGAAGAGGGTATTTTTGTAATTTAATAAAAATATTTTTTATTTTTTAATTTAATATTAAATGGTAAGGTCAAACTTGTCATTTCACAGCCCAATTAATGGGTCGGATACAGATATTGAGGCAATGTGAACACTTTTTAAAAATATAGGGGTTTTTAAAAACAGGTTGGGGTTTTATGATCACTTTTCAAAAGTATTGGGAGTTTACAGAAATTTGCCCTATAATTATTTCCCTTGTCCTCGAAGTGTCCATTTCCTACTTTTATAAGATTAGCCATGTTGTATCTATGTCTCATGTCTGTATTCATGATTTCAAGTACCCAATAACTCACATGCACGAATGGCTTAGAGATGTAGGATATCCTAAAAACCAACAACCATGAGGTGATATTCAATTTTTTTCACGGATCATCTTTTGCTCATGGCAAGAAAAGGCTTAAAAATAACCCAAATAAATATAAAAGATTTTAACTTTGGTAGACTAACAAAAGCATGATGTCTTCAAATTTTATTCTATGTTTTCCATTCTTAAACTACCAACTCAACTTACCAAAAATAAAAACTATGAATTAGGAGACAAACATAATTTACCAATCCAGACAGTCCATTTTGAACTGTGGCATGGTCATCATCTGATCAATGTACCCAAGACATGAAAACTGGGGTTGCCACGTTGCATCACACTATCTTTTATCTTACCCCTTGCCTCAATGCTACATCTGCCTGTGCTAGGACCTGGAGCAGGGCTCAAGGAGCCCAAGTGACTAGGTTCCCTGGTAATGGAACGCGCCACCAGGCATGCCATTGGCCATTGGAGAATGCTAAAATGCATCCTCACACCATGACATGGTCTAAGGGTCTGACAAGGCAGCTGGCATAGGATACACTAATCCAACAGTGTTCCCTGTCATTCAAGGCGTCCACCGCTGCTCAAATCGTCACTATGGCGAACTAAGGCACTCGACCACCAGAGGACACAAGTTATTCATTAAGCAGGCCATGCTTTGATAGGTCACTCGATCACTTTATAAGGCCAATCTTCACAAACAACACATTCACCTCATGCTTCCTCTAAGGATGCCGAACACTTCGCCTTCCCCTCATGCACGCCTCACAATCATCTTAGTATCCTACATTTCTCAACTTGACCAAATCACTGACCAACAAACAAACCCTCAAACGACCATTCAACCACAGCAACAAATATGTACAAGTTTCGTAGGAGCAAATAAGGGGTATTTGACCAATATCTCAACGAAATGCAATAAGTATTAACGCGCCAGGTCGAACTGGAATTTGATCTTAATAACAAACAATCTCTATCTGTCTTCCTATATCTTGTAGAACCATCTGTAGATGTTTGTGACCTATCATTACATTTTTATTTATTTTTTAGATGGTGTTGAATGTAGTCAAATTCTTATTTTCCCAGTTCATATCTCCCTCTCTCTGAGAGGACCTAAAATGAGTGTTCTTATGCTAACAGAAAATGATTAAATTAATTGTATCTTGGTTAGCGTTGTCTTTTCTGTAGCCAAGCATCCATCATATGAACCAAGCAAGATAGGAATTGGTACCTTGGCAGTTTCCTAGATGTGTGCTTTTAGCTACTTGAATCTGAAAATAAAGGCAACACTATTGTTATGTTTGGGTGCAATGAATCGGTGCCTTGGATTTGGGATTGGAGGAAGTTTAGTTGAAATTTTTTGCTAAATTTTCTCCAATCCCAAATCCGAGGAACCGATTTGGTGCCGCCAAACATAGCATATGTGCCGCCATATAATTGTTAAAATTTGACCATCTGACATCCTACCAGGATCTTGTATTACTATTTTGATAGTTTATTTACAGAGGTTGCTCAACACTGATTCTCAACAATATAAGCAATAACGTAACAACTATTTAGAAGAAAAAAAATAGTATAAAATGCAAGATATGACATCGACAAAAATTCCTAAATAATACCTAAATTACATAGAGACCAATGTTAGTATAAAATATCCAAATTAATTCTTTTCCTATTTCCTTCAAGATATAGATTCTTATTATCTTGAGAACATAACATACACCAAGCAACAGAGGTTTAAGATTAAATTATAAGGATTTATAGTAGTCAAAGTGACAATCAAGTGCGAGCAAAGAGAAGAGAAATGAACAAACAGGAATTAAATTACAAGTGTAAGAAGAAAGAACCCCATGAATTGAGAATAAAAATCAAAGGATATATATATATAGAGAGAGAGAGAGAGTAGCAACCTTTTGAGATATGGAGTGGTGGGCATCCTTGAAATCCTTGTGAAGGAGGTACAGACCCACAAATGATGCCATTGCAGCTCCCGCCATGAAGGATGTTAACCTCACTCTCACAACGTAACCCATCTCTCTCTCTCTCTCCCCCAGTTCCAGATCTGACGATGTCCCTAAATGGGAGGAAATACTTGGTTCAAAGAGAAATGGAAGGAAAAGAAATGTCACTTGGCCAAAAAAAATAATACTCTATTAAAAGAGGAGAATGTAATTTGTTTATATTGAATTTTTTTTTTTCGTTTAAGTCCAACATTATTATTAATGAAAGGTAAAGTCAAAGACTCAAAACATTATTTGCTCATCTTTTATCATAGTTATTTTGAAATTTCGCGGGTTTAAGGGTGAATTTCATTGACATAAACATTCCACCAATATTTACTGAGCAAAAAAAGTACTAATTTTATCTTTTAAAGTTGTGATTTATTTTTTATTTGTTATTTTTAACCATCCCAAGAAGTTCACAATTTTATTTATTTATTACTTTTCTCCTAGTAAGATTTAAAATTTTAGCCTGTTTTGGAAGGTAGAGAAATATTAAACTACAATTTACGGTAGCGAAGCTACTAATGGTGAAATACTAAAACTCACCATTTTTAATAGTAGAGTTTCAAAGTAAATCTGATGAAGTTATAAGGAAAAAAAATAATGATTATTGAAATTCTCCATACTTCTAGGAATTGAATTCACTACTTTATATTTGATTCTTGCACTTGATAAATGGGTGTAAATATGAATTTGTAAATGATTTGGCATTATCTTATATTGGGACTTAGTTACTGAGAGGCTTTAATAGGCTCGTAAAAATATTTTAAAATTTATTTTTTAGTGTTTGGTTATCAAAATTTAAGCAAAATGTTTTATTAAAACTTAACAAAAATAATATCAACCTTTACTAAACACTAAACAATAAAAATAAAAATAAAAATATATATATTTTTTACCTTAAAAGGAATTTTAAGTCAAATCAAGCGAGCCAAAATTCATTTTCCTTCTTTCTTCTTGGAAGGTGGCTTTATTAAATCAACTTTCAAAAAAAAAAAAAGATTGCAACTTTATGTTGCATAGAATATGGTATAAAAGAGAATACATAGAATAATTCCACGCAATTTAATATGACATGTATATATATATATATATATATTATGTATCGACAGCTTAGTCCCAACGGGGTCTCCTATATTTTTCACATAAAAAGGTTAACCATGTAAAGCGCAATTCCCAAAGAAAAAAAAATTTTGAAAGGGCAATCGCAGGTATGCATTTGCACTAACCTTAATTTTTTTTTATTTTTTTTTATTTAAAATGGTAAGTTAAAAAAAATAATAATAAGTAATGAAGAGTGTTTCTTGCAAAGGTCAAAAAAAAAAAAAAAAAGTAAAGAAGATCGAAACTTTTAGTATAATAACATGATGAACTAAAACAGAAACCAAACACAGCCCCAAGAAAAACCAGACATGGGTCATCCAGACCAACAAATCATACAGTGACTGATTTGCTTCCGACAGTCTCATGTCGAATAAATATAAGATTACAAGTTTCAGCTAACAAACTGCAACAGTGTTGGCTTGTTAGATCAGTAGAAGTAGTTGAATACAACACTTTTAGACTCCATAACAGCACTTGAAAGCAGCTCATGTGGATGTTGTCAAAATATCGGAATAGCAAATAAAAATGCATTCAAGAAAACATAAGTTTCAGCCATCTCGAGAAATCATCTTTACTCGGTGTTATCCTGCCAATGGAGGAAATCTGTATTTTCCGGTAATTTGGATCCCAACCAACAAAAAAACTTAATTGGGGGATGCACGGACGCAATGGCACACACGAATATCACTATGAACACTTCAATGTTCAGTTCCGAGTATAGTAGAACACCAGAGAAAATGAACAGTTTTCTTCAAGAAAAGACAAAAATGGGAAAGAAATAAATCATCGGTTTAAATCAGAGATTTCTATTGCGCAAAAAGATCACAGGAGATTCCAAATTGAGATAAATATCCTGCAATCATCTCATCATTTCCAATATGCTAGATCAGCACAATGGTGCACGTTCACTTTTCATTAATCTTAGCAGTGTTCAAATCCTCCTGCCAAAAGAAAACGATTAGAAATTCTTTTGCAAAATAAAAGAACAAAAAGAAAACTAAAACTATAAAGAACAAAGAACAAGAAAGAGATGAAAAAATCTTTACAGCAAGCCAATTTGCTGACCTCACAACTAAAATTTTTAGTTTTTCGCATTTACAGAGACATCAAATGAATATAGTGTGTACAACCAAAAAGAAATGCAGCGTATGATAACTGAGTACAACAATGAGGCAGAATACCCAACTTAACAACTTAGTGTTGTACATTACCCGCAATAATATAATATGATTGAAGAGTAAATAGGTATTGACACATTGGCAAACATCCAGAATCTCAAGGCATCTGAACCTCTCTCTTTCAAGCACCTAACTCTCCATCATAAATGATTCCTTTCGCTTTGCAACATAGATAAGAGATACAACAGCAATCAACACTTCATTCCCAACTACTTGGGGTCAGCTACATGAATCATATATTTTCCATTCCACTCTATTCAAGGTTATAGACTTGGTCAATTCACATACTATCATACCCTTCCTTGGTAACTCTACCCACATTAACTTTGGTCATCCTCTTCCCCTAGTATTACCCTCAATGTGGACTATGATACATTCTGTGCCATATAGTATGGCTGGTCTAATAGTTGTTCGACAGAATTTCCTTTTTAATCGTAAGGGGATACACCTATCACACAATATATTAGATGCAGTCCTCCAATTACCATCCTGCATTGATTCTTTACTTAACGTCCTCTCCAATTTCTTTAGCCTAAATAACGAAAATGTTCACTTTTTTGTACCTCTTGATTTTCAATCCAATCTACATCCTCATATGTATTTCTAAATTTACTAAAGTTACACTCCATATATTCAGTTTTATTTCGACTTATATTAAACCCTTTTCATTCTAAATCTTCTCTCCAAACATCCAATTTGGCATTTACATCAACTAAAAGAATATCATTGGCAAATATTATACACCGTGGAATCTCAATCTTAAATGTGTCTTGTCAGCTCATCCATAACCAAGGCAAAAAGGTATGGGTTTAATGATGACTATTAATATAAGCCTCCAACAATCGGGAATTCACTTGTTTCCCTTACAGGTGTTCTAACTAAAGAAACACAACCATCATACATGTTCTTTACCATATCAATGTATCCCTTTGTGACTTCTAAAACCCTCCATATTAGATCTCTAGGTACCCTATCATAGGCTTCCTCCAAAGCAATAAAACTATATGAAGATCACTCTTCTTCTCTCTATATATTTCCATTAGTCCCCTCAATAAGTAAATAGCCTCCATCGTTGACCTTCCTGGCATGAATACAAATTGATTCTCCGACATTTCAAAGTTCAATCACTCTTTCCCAAAGATTCACAATGTGACTCATTAATTTAATATCCTTTTTTTTGTTGGTCAAGTACCCATTAATTTAATATCACGGTAACTATTACAACTTTGTACGTCCACCTTATTTTTTTCTATATAGGCACTAGAATATATTGGCACCACTCGTTAGCCATCCTGTTAGTTGTTATTACCTTGTTAAACAATTGTGTTAACCAGGACAAGCCAACTTCTCCTAGACACTTCCAAACCTTAATAGGTATGCTATCGGGTCCTAAAGCCCTTCCCGATTTTATCTTCCTTATGTCATTTCTAGGCCCCCCCTCAGTGACCCTATGGAAAAACATGTTATCTCTAAGGTTACTATATTATTCTAAGCCTAAACTTCCTATATGGTTGTCATTTAGCAATTTCTCAAAATAACTAGTCCATCTTTCTTTAATTTCATCATCTTTTGCTAAAACCCGTGAATCTTCACTTTTAATGCATTTAATATGACTAAAAGTCTCTCCTTTTCCTCTTCCTTAGTTTAGCAAGTTTACATATATTATTCTCCCCATCTTTTGTGCTTGGTAAACTAAGGGAGAGGAAAACTATAAATTTTAGTTATATTAAATGCAATTAGAGTGAAGAATCATAGGTTACAGATAAGAGATGCAATAAGAAATAATAAAGAATGATGGGCTTGTGGTGGTAGTCCAAGTAAAATTAAACGCTTTCTTTGGCTCGAGGATTTAGTGAGAGAAAGGAACAGAAGATTTCTTTCATATTTTTCTCACGCTGAAATGAGATAAGAAATTAATTATTTCTAAATAATGATCAGAAATAAGGAAAGATCAAATAGCATTGAAAATTTTAAATTAAAAAATATATATATGGATCCTTACCATAATACTCATATTTTGTTTTCCTCCCTCTTTCCCATAGCAACCAAACAAGGGAAGAGTGACTTCATTTACAACACCACCTTCTTTCCCTCACTAAATCTAACAAAGCAGAGCCTAAATGAATTAACAAGATGAAGCAATTGATGCACCATATATACTCGAAACAAGTTTCTTAACATATTAATAACTAGGTCAAACTCCACTTCTCCAGAATGTACAATTCCTACATGAAATATTTAAAGGGGCACAAAGCTGGATGACCAGGCAGGTACTTTTGGCCTTGAGAAACATTTGTTGAAAACATTTTTTCCACATTGAGATATTGCTGATCCAGTTTGTTAAGTTCCCTGGTAGACCAGAATAGAATCGAGAAGCACCACAAGCATGCATGTGACATAAAATAAATTACACACAAAAACTAGTTGACATACGAGTTACGACTACCCCCATCTCACAAGGATTGGACTCATTTCTTTCTTTGGCTGTCACATAGAATTAAGACGCCTAGTCATGGAATAAATATATGGATCTGTGAAATATGAAAGCATTTAGAAGGTGGAAAAGAACGGTATAAACATCAGAAAACCAGCCTTTAAAGTTAAGGTGAATAAGCCTTAAAATGAGTACAACTGCACGACAAAAGAAGTAAGGAGAATATGTCCATATCTCCTAAAATGTGGGTCTCAAATATGGTAAAAATCATTGCGGGAGAACAGGCTTTTTAAAGACAACTTAATATCAGGATGCATTGAACCGGCAAACTGTTTGTTCCAATAAAAACAATAATCAGTGTTGGCAGTTTGCACTGAAAAATGCAATAAAAATTTTATAATATATATATATATATATTTGATAAGTAAATTTTTATAATATATTTGACCTATCATTTTAGTTGTTGCATGTCACAAGCACTATCAGAAGATCTGGCATGGAACACAACATATATTTCCGGAAAAACAGGACAAAAACTGATAAAAATCAATACCTGCATTCAGGGAACTTACTACTCCTATCTTCTAGAAGTCGATGCAGCCCCAGTTGTCCTGTCACATAAAATTAAGCTCAATGCTTCTGTTCGATGGTAGGCTTAACACAATTACAAATTTATTCATAAGATAAAATACCTGCCCAGCTGTTTCCCGACCGAATTCACGGTAGGCCTCCCATTAGTTGATCCTTTACTTTGAAAACCGCCCAAACCTATCCTATCTGTATTTGCTCCATTTCCAACTGTCACAACTCCAGATAATATGCCAGGCCTAGTTTCAAGTCCATTCAGTTCCAGAGGATCTTTAGGTTTGCTCAAAATTTTTATATTTGATATACCTCCAGCGACATTGTACGAAACACCATTAGGATGTTGATTATGCATCACCAAGTGCTGTGAAGGATCATCAGTTACACTTGTAGGTTTGTGTGCTGCATACTCCTTGTGAATGGTCTTGTCAGTCTTCACGGAGTTGGAATCAATGGATGGGGCCCTCTTCAGTCGGTGAGATTGTGCCATGGGAGTAACAGCCACAGATGGCAACAATGACGAGTGAGGAGATGACGCTGCAGTTGCTGCAGCAACTTTCGCAACAGCTGCAGTAGCCGCTATCATTCCTTGTGCGCCTTCTCGAAGATGTATATAATCCCCTGTAATAACAAATAACTGATATAACAAAATGAGATTCTTTGATTACAATACATCTGTATACAAAAGGGGGCAAAAGGTATAACTAGTAAACTAAAGGTCTATTAAGCATACTTCAGGATGACCAGCCACAAAGTCCTCAAGCTTTCCATACGTTTTCTTGTAATCATGCCAATGTAGAGGTGCAAGCATTTTGGCAAGCCTATTCGGAAGCTGTACTTGACCCCAGATAAAAGATATCATAAATCAATCAAATTTGAAAAGATAAAAGGTGCTATGCCAAAATTGATTTACACTAACCGTCGAACTAATCTTAATTTTACCACCAGATCCAGGTGGGATTGTGCGAACAATGCACGCCAATAACGACCTTTCATCAAGAAGAGTAACCTCTGAAGTCTTTCCCGCTGAATGCATATTATGCTGCTCCGATGAGACAAACAATTCATGGAAAACTGAACCACTGACATTATTAACTATGGCTTCACTGAAATTCGTTGCATGATTTGGACTGTCAGATGATGATGATTTGAAAGCAGAACTTTCTTGTTTTGCAGTCAATCCTTGGCCCTCTAGTCCATGACTAGTCAAAGCAACAACGCTCTTCTCCTGTACCAGTTGAAATTCAAGATTACACGGTATCTCACGGTTCTCGCCATAAATAACATGTAATTTCAGGGTTTACAAGTGGACCTAATACTTGTAACACCACCCATTTCAGACAAAATTGTCCACCATGGTCCGTGCTTCCAAGCGACAGAAAACTGTGCATAATTATACAAACCTTGGTTTCACTACTTTGTGCAAGAGCGTCTAATATTGAAACATCATGAAACTGAGAAGAAGTATGTTGCAAACTCTGTTCTGATCGGGGGGCTGCTAGACAGATTTTACCCAGCGACTCAAGAACCTGAAGAGAGTTTTTGGGGGTCAAGACAATAGGGCATATGAAAAGAAATGACAGCATATCAAGTATTGTGCACACAAAAATTTTTGGGTCCAAAACCTGTCTTTCCTCAGCTGATGATGGGATCATAGAATCAGGCTCCATCCCTTGACTGACATGGACATCCAAATAGTTTGGATGAAGAGCTTGCCCATTCTCATTTAGGGACACTTCACAGTCATAATTATTATCTGGCCTCAACAAATTCTGTTCAGTTTCAGATGGAGGATACTGGTTGTGAGGCAGCATCTGCAAACCTTCTGATACAGCCTGAATAAAGAGAAGATCAAACTACGAAACTATGAGTACCATAACCAAATGAACAGGTAACATATTCCGTTTGCTTGTACCTGTTGATTCTGCCAATTTTCAATTGATGAAACCGTTGGTACTACTGAGTGAAAATGGCCACCATGAGATTGAGTAACATTTGATGGCACAGAATGGGGGACCCCCTGCTGATGCACAACAAACGGATGCAGAGCAGTCACCTGTCCAGGTGGAAGGTACGTAGGCATCCCAAGTAGGGACGAAGGAGCAAGTGGGACACCAGGAACATGGTTGGTCTAATAATGAAGAACAAAAAAAAAATGTTTATCAGTATAATAAGAAGAAAGCTGCTCCTCTGTAGGTAAACAACCATAAACAACTAATAGTACAATAAGCAAAAGAATGCTAAACAAAATTATGGGAAAAGTTGCCCATTGAAAGTGAGAATTTATAAAGATGAAGGGTGCCACTTTTCAACATAACATAGATTGACAAACATGAGCTCCCTATGATAAAGATGCAGCAGCCAGCTTTATATGTCTTTGGGAACTATTTTAAATGGAACATATTAATGTTGACAATTGAATTAGTCAAGTGGTCACAATAATGCGGAACCTAATTTGTAGTTGATCTTAGCAAACATAGATGCCATAACCAGATGGAAAATGCCACATGAACCATCATTTTGCACTGCATTTTCTTGCTTGCATAGCAAGAAAATGAGTCCTAAATATATTTATTACTGATTCATTACTTAATTTTCCTTAATTCTTTGTGGACTCTACTAAAGCATCACTATCTTGTTGCCCTTTAACGTGGTTATCTGACAAGCTACATAAACTAGTGTTCTATTTTTAGCAACTCAAGGAGAATGCTAGAATTGCAAGCAACACAGTATAGAATTTCAAAAAGGGAATTAATAAGTGGAAGGAATGATCCTCAGATAGTATAGTACTGTTATTTATTACTCTCACAATTTACATATTTGTGTTTCATTTGACTAAAGTTACTATTACTAATTTATTCATACATAAGATATATCTAATGTTCATTGTGTTTGTGTTCAGTGACATTTGCCCAAATACTATATATGCATCATGCCATATCCGTGTCACGCTTCCATTTCCATACTTTTTAGATGTTTACTGCAACTTACAGTTTAGGATTCACATTACAATGTGGGAAAAAAGAAAACAAAAAATTTACACAACATAATCTACCTGATTTGATGCAGTGCCAGCTGAGACAAAAGATGAAATATTTTCAGTGTTCTTATGTTGAAAGACCCCAGAACTTCCATCTGGTGTGCCATTTCCATTCACATCCAGTCTGCTTCCGTTGTTCTGTCCAAACTGAGAAACATCCTTCAAATTTTCCTGGGATACATGTGACTCATCAGTGCAGATTCCAATCCTTTCTCTTGCGTTGGCCAGTTCAATCTGGAGCTGCTGTATTGCATGCATATGATGCCTCTCCATTTCGGTAAACTGACATAGATAAACACATAAAAATCAATTATCTAATGCAAACTACCTTGACAACAGAAAAATGACAAGAAATGTAAGTGTTAAGAAGCTATCTGGCTGGCAAGCAGAAAAACAACCTGCAGTCCATATCATAAGGCCAAATTTTTATTCATTGTTGAGAAGAATGGTTGCAAATTGCACGACTGACTTAAGCCAGTAAACCACTGTCTACATTACATATTTTTTGGTAGGTGTCTACATTATATATTACTACTGTAGGATTTTTTTTTTTTTTTTTTTTTTTTTTTTTTTTTTTAAAGTATTACTACTTTAGCTTAACAACCTGTCTTTGACAACCAAGCCAAAGCTGATTATATTGGTCAGTACGTTCCCGCAATTCAGCTTGTAACGAGTGATTCGTAGTAGACTGCAAGGCATCCATCTCTTGAACACGTCTAATCCAAGCTTGAGCCTCCCTTAACTGTTCTTCTTTAATAAGAATAGCTTCCTGAGAAACCCTATTCTGAAAAATAAGATCACTGTTAGGCAATATACCAGCCAAACCACAACAAAATAAAGATAAAATGAGATAATAAACTAATAAATTATAAACCTCAGCTAGAAAATGATAAAATAAGAAAGTGTGTTGGAAAAAAATATCAAAACACCGTCACTGACGTACCCTAGCAAACAATTGTACTAATTGGAAAAAAATCCATTGATTCCAAAGTCAAAACATGATGCAGTAAACCATTTTCCCAGACAAAACAGAATGTTGTTGTTATACTTTAAGTTAATGTCAAAAGAAAGAATAGATGGAACTCCAAAATTAAGCTTCCATCAATTAAGAAAACAGAAGTGCAATGCAAATCCACAAATTAACAGACCTGTTCCTGCAACTCCATGAATATCCTTTCTTTTTCTTGAACATGTTCTTGAAAATCATGGATCTGTTTAAGATGTTGGGCTCTTTCGGCTTCAGAGTTATCACGTTCCCTCCTACAAAAAGATGCACCATACAAATTATCTAGAATGCCCAAACCTCAAAAAACCCAAGCAATGAAAACCTACCAAAGTTGATAGCAACCTGTTTGGTTCAGTTCTTTGACATGTGAACTTTGTTTAGTCTTTAGAAAACTATAAAAGACTGTTATTTGAAGAACATGCAATTTTTTTTTCAACCGACTTTTCAAAAACTATTAACCATCTGTTTTTTCAATTCTCTGGAAACAGAAAAACTATTTTCATAAAAGTCAAGCAATTAGGCAAATAGTTGCTGAATGTTGTGATATTGGTATAATAGGATAACAGCAACGAGTATACCAAACCATCATGAATCATAGCAAATCAAATTTATTACTTCAAATAATGATTCTAATTGTAAAACTACATTAGTTTCAGCTACACATATATACATATATGAGTAGATAGGTGAAAATCACTATTCATTGAGGCCAAGACACCTACCGAAAGGTTGCCAATTCTTTGTTTTGTTCTCTGAGGAGGTCTTCCTTAGCCCATGCCTGAAATGTCAAAATAAAAGGAGGGTCATGTTCAGCAAACGGATGCCAACATTATATTTTACAATGTCAAGAACAAATACAGAATAATAGAATAGTATGAATGCTCAATATACCGCCTCATTGTCTAATTTGATTGCACGTAGCTCTCTTTCTTTATCTTCAATCTTCCTCTCCAACTCATGTATTCTATGTTCCTTTTCATGCAGTTGCTCCTTGACAACCAAGTAAAAATCAAGTTAACGAATATAAACCACAGGTGTATATAATATAGACCCATAAAAAATAGAAGGCATACACATTCACAAACTTCAGAAACTCGGAATGCAAAAACCTGAAGCTTTATATTGGCATTTGCATGCTCTTTGATCTGAGCGTCAAAGGAATTCTGCATCTCCATGATCTCCGATCCCACAATGAACTGAGCTTGAAGCTCAATCTCCATCTGTTGCAGCTCCTCCCTATGCCTCGCCACACTGCAAAGCCGCTGCTGCACAATTTCGTTATCTAAACCTCCAGCAGCGATCATAACTGAACAGAAATCCACATCCGCTGGCTCTCTTCCCTGCTGCACCTTAACAAACATCAAATCGCCTTCATTTCTCCATATAAATAAATAAATTAAAAATAATTCAAAATGCCCTATTCATTAAGAACACGTTCATTACCTCATATATAGTTCTCTCATCCGATTGCCCCAACTTCAAATGTTCCAAGTCCTACACACCAAAGTTTCACATTTCAAATTCAAAAAAATCAGCAAAAAGAATCAAAACCCTAACTTTACCATTGCAGCAAAGTAATGTGAGTAGATACAGTGAACCAGTACCTCATTGCCGGAGTTTCGAACCAAATGTTCGGAGACAGCACGCCACTCCTTCCGTGAAGGCTGAGAGGACACCATCGGCAGAGAAACGCCGCGCGAGGCGGCGACACCGGCCGCGGCCTCCATTGAATCACAAGCTACTACAGTACTCCAATTTCTCTCTCTAACACAGAAACCCTAAAATTTCTTTCAAAAAACAAACCCTATACAATTATCATAGTGAAATGAACTTTGACGAGAATCAAAACCAAACAGAAATGGAATGTGTAAAATCAATGCACAGAGCGAGGGTTTTCTACGATTGAAGAGTTTAGAAAGGGATTGAACAGTACAAAAAAGTAAAACGTTGACGACAGTGGAAGGGGGAGAGATGATTGGGTGTGAGAAAATTTGATTAAGGTGGGGGGCTTCAGGTATTTATAAGGCCGTTCGAGTAAAGAGAGATATTGGACCACGCGTCGTAGTAGAGCGTGTAACATGCGCATCAATTGTGTAGTATTACGGAAATTCTTTGCAATCTTCACCGTTTATTACAAGGTACAGGGTTCTACAAAACGTCTGGTGGGTCCCCCACATTAAGTGAACCGGGATATATAAAACCGGAGCTTCGCAAATCGCATTAAAACTGAGTGGATTAAGATATGATTCAGTGGGTTTTTCCTACATGGGCTTAGAGCCCAGTGGACTTTTCTATATGCCCTGAAAGGCTTTTTGAAATTAGTACTGTAATAACTTATGTGGATTACTAAAAAGGCTTGAACTCCAAGAAATTTGTTTTGTAGCTATTTAAAAACTATTTTTGCATGTCTAAATGTTAGATGTGTTTCATATAGATGTGAAATGCATATTAACGGGTGTGTATGCATTATTACTTAACGGCTTATGTTTCTGAATTAGAGGATAAATACTCCATCCATTACATTTGGTATCAGAACTAAATCAAATCATTAATCTAGTGTCGTACCAAGTGCTCACCTAAGTGAACCCATTCGGGAGGACCCTGGGTCCAGACCGGATAGGTAGAGTGATTCGACCACAACGAGAGTGTCGCCTGTTTGGGTGTGAGAGAATATTAAAGGTGTCTAAATACGATACTTTTGGAAGCATATTTAGTAATTTAATATTCGTTGTAAGATTTTCAAAAGCAAAACACATGAAAACATGTTTATTAATGTTAAAATGTTGCATGATTGTATTATAAAATGGCTTGTTAAAAGGGCCTGCTTTATTTATTTATTATTTATTTGTTTTTTTGAAGTATTAACCTTTTATTTTTTTTAAGTATTCACCGCTATGTATTTGATGGTATAGTGCAAAAACATTAGAAAACACAAATTTAATATTATCAAATGTGTTTGAAGACACCAAAAATTATCCGGGCTTGGTATGATCCGTACTGCTAAGAACGGGTCGGGTATGGATAGCCAGGATGGAGCAAGTCCACGCTGAATGGGCCCAGATTCAAGAAGTCATTTGCGGAAACCCATGTTAAGATGAAAGAATTCAAGTCCAGACAAAAGAGAACAAGTTAGGTCTAGCTCAGGGGTGGTTATAACCATCTATAAAGAAGGAGGATTGAGAGGGAAAAGTGGTTGAAGTTTATTGGGAGTGTAAAGTTTCTCTCTCTACTTTTGGGGAAAAATTCTTTGTACTTTCAATTGGCACCGTCTGTGGGAAGAACAAAGAGGATTGATTGGTGTTGATCTAGATCGATTCGATTCAAAGCACTCTGCGAAGAAGACGATTAATCTCTGAAAGTTGAATCAAAATTGATGGAAATGCGATCTGTCTTGATGAATCTTGGTTCCAGTTGATTTCGAGAGGTTGGCGTCCGATCCACGCAGATCTGATCTGTGCTTGATCCAGCAAGCTGTACAGTTGTGATTTGCTGAGATTGCTAAATCTGGCCAGTAGCGAACAGAAGTCAGCAAGTGTGAGTCCAGATCTGGTGCATATGCGTTAGCGAAGCTCCGATCTGATCAAAAAATCTGATGTTGATGACTTTGCTCCGATCTGGAATGATGATCAGAGAGGAGAGCTCAAATCCTTTGGAAAATGGCCAGCAGACGAAGCTCGATGAGTTGATAAACATGATCGACGCCTTAAAGAAAGAAAATGCAGAGTTGCGCGCTGGAATGGAGCGTCGAGAGGCTTCTACAATTCCGAGGCCACCTCCGGAAGGAGAGGGAGTCTTACCGTCCCATGCTATTCGTCAAGGTGATCCAGAAGGTGTTAATCGCGTTGATCCACATCGTAATGAAGTTATAATAGACGATCTACCTCCGAATGTCCGTCAAGTAGAGGATCGAGAAGGATCTATTCATTTAGAGCCACAACGCAAACGAATCATGAGAGAGGAAGCGCCGGCGTGTGATTATAAGGTTGCATCACCATGGCAAAGTGAGTTTGCAGAAGACAGATCGTTTGATCCACCTTATCGACCTTCGATGGCAACATTTGACTACCGTAGTTCAGAAAGGAGATCTGCCAATTGGGGAGTTCCGTCACGATTTTCAAGGGAGAACGAAGCATTGCGCTCATCAGCAAGGACGGTTGTATCTCCGTTCACTAATGAAATTCTAAACGCACCGAATCCGAAGAAGTTTTTCATGCCGATCTTCATTCTGTTTGATGGAACAACTGACCTGGTCGACCACATCTACCACATTCAGTTGAAAATGGCTCTGAATACTAACAATGATCCTTTAATGTGCAAATGCTTCCCTACAAGTTTGGCTGGACCAGCCCTCAATTGGTTCAAGAATCTGACTCATGACTCAATCGCTAGTTTCCAGGACTTGTGTGACAAGTTCATAAGCCAGTACTATGGGAATAAGCGTCCGGCTAAAGATGTATCAATCCTTTTCACAATGAGGCAGCACGAAGATGAACGACTCCAAGCTTTCCTCACCCAGTTCAACCTTGTTAAAAGCATGGTAATGGAATGTCATCCATCCACAGATCTATGCATTTAAACTTGCAATGAACCGGGGGACACCGTTCCACACAAGCTTGGTGGTCAATACGCCGAAGACCATGGATGAGCTGAACGAGAGAGCTGACGATTTTGTTCGTTTTAAAGAAGAGGAGGCAGCTAATTCAAGGAAGATGTCAATTATTTCGACAGAAGAGAAGTCCAAAGCCAAGATCCGGCAAAAACAAGCTCAACCGCAACGTCAAACCTCCTGGAAGGCAGAGAAAAGGTCTAGGGAGGAGGAGTTGGTTACTCCACTCAAAGTCACCTTGGCAAGGTTGTACCAAGAAAACAAAGATAAGTTTCGCCCTCCTTTACCAATCAGACAGCCTCTTAAACAGAGGGATCAAACTAAACACTGTGCTTTCCGTAGTAATTTTGGACATCAGACTAACGAATGCAGGAACCTAAGGAGGCAAGTGGAGATGCTGATCGTAAAGGGGGAATTTGCAGGCTATGTTCAAGGTCCGGCGCAAGAGCAGAACCGACCGGCTGAACAGATTAAGAGAAATTAGAGGCCGAACCACCACAGCACTTAGCCCGTTCGGATTATAAATGCAATTCATGGCCGACCTGAACAAACAACGGAGTCAGAAGAGTTGCTCAGAACGCGGTTACGCCAGGCCCAGTTGAAGAGAAGGATTGGCAGCGTACATGCTTTGCACCAGCAGAATGCATCCGTGTAGATAAAGTTTGACAGAACAGACCTGCTACGCGTTCAGATTCCTCATGAAGATCCACTGGTCGTCAGTCTAACAGTTGTAGAATGCCTGGTACGAAGAGTGCTGATTAATCTAGGAAGTAGTGCAAATGTCATGCCTAGAGTGACGTTCGACCGGCTTGAGATCGAACCCGAGAAACTTAAACCCACAGGAAATCCATTGCTAGGATTTGATGGGAAGCGAGTGGAGCCCATTGGCATGATGGAATTGACAGTACAAGCTTCTGAGAGAGTTTTGACTGAGAGTTTTGTGGTCGTGGAAATTCATCCATCTTATAACCTCTTGATGGGAAAATGGTGGATTCACATAGTTTAGGGTGTCCCATTAACCTTACATCAAGTAATGCGATGCTTGGGTCCAGATAGAACCAAGGTGATTGACATTCATGGGGACCAGGTTGTAGCTAAAGAATGCTATTCAGTGACTTTGAAATCTGCTGGAAAAGGGAAAAATCCCATCCGTTCTGCCAGTCCAAGATAGCAATTACAAGAGCCTCCACCCAGCAAAGGTGGGGAGGATGAGCAGCTAATTCTGACCGCAGAACCTCTTCTTAATGTGAAGATCGACCATAAGAAACCGGATCGAACAACGAGGGTGGGATCCAGACTTACTGAAGAAGAAAAACTAGGGTTGATTAACTTTTTGACTCGGAATGCAGACGTATTCACATGGAGCCATTCAGATATGCCAGGGATTAATCCTTCTGTATCTTGTCATTCCCTCAATGTGTATCTGAACGCAAAACATGTAAAGCAGAAGCAGAGAAGATTTGCTTAGGTAGGATTCATTAGAGAAGTTCAGTACTCTGTCTGGCTCTCCAATGTCGTTGTGCAGAAGAAGAATGGGAAATGGAGAGTATGTATTGACTTCACTAATCTAAACAAAGCTTACCCAATGGATAGCTTCCTATTGCCAAGGATTGATCAAATGGTGGATGCCATCACAAGATACGAGCGATTAACCTTCCTAGATGCTTCTTCCGGTCATAATCAAATCCCCATGGACCCAATTGATGAAGAGAAAACTTCTTTTGTTACTGAACGAGGGACCTATTGCTACAAAGTCATGCCGTTCAGATTAAAAAATGCTAGAGCTACTTATCAGAGGCTGATCAGCAAGATTTTCAAAAGCCAAATGGGGAGAACCGTAGAGGCTTACATTAATGATATGGTGGTCAAGAGTAAGAAGAAGGATGATCACCTAGCGCACCTGTAGGATGTGTTTGATGTGTTGAGGCAGTACGGGATGAAACTTAATCCGACCAAATGTTCATTCGGCGTGAGCTTTGGTCAATTCTTGGGACATGTGGTCAATCATAGAGGAATTGAGGCTAGCCCAGCGCAGGCAGAAGCTCTGATCAGAAATGCAGAACCAAAGACAATTAAGGAGGTGCAGGCATTCACAGGTCGAATAGCTGCACTGAGCCGATTCATTTATAAGCTCTCAGACCATTGTAAACCATTCTTTAATACAATTCGAGGCCATGAAAAGCAAGCCTAGGGGGATGAACAATGACAGGCACTAACCAGCCTGAAAGATTACATGCGCAACCCTCCGATTCTGTCTACTCCCGAGCCAAATAAGAAGCTCTTTCTGTATCTTGGGGTATCCAGCATCGCAACTAGTGCCGTTCTGATCCGTTGCAAAGACGGAAAGCAATTCCTAGTGTTTTATGTCAGCAAAACAATGGCCGAGCTGGAAA